GCAGCCCAAAAGTTAAGAAAATAAGTTCCGAACGTCAGAGGGCACTCATTTTCTTAGCTAGAAGGGGCAGTGAAAATGCATATGTTTAGGAAATCCAGAGCACTGATTTTCTTAACCAATGTTTTCTTAAACAGAGCCGGCACTGTAGCGGGTGTTGTAAACTGCGCGCGTGTGTTTACTCGGTCTTCCTTTTTAGCCCGCTTCGCTTAAAAAAAGGTTGCCGTATGTACGCAGATCATACGCAGATACAGGCAACTCGTCCAAGTAACTGGAGGCTTTCACGACACCGTTGAGAGCCAGACATGTGGCCGCTGCCCAACTCGCAGACTTGAGGGAAAAGGTCAGGCATGACGACATCCATCGCTTGTGACACATTGCCTTGCTCTATAAGGTGCCCTTGCATCGGCAGAGGGTACCAGTTCAAGGAGAGGACGACCGAATCTCGCGTGGCACTCAGCTGGGCTCCGTGGCATGGTTCTGGTAAGGTATCGTATCGAAATAATGTGTGGTCAATATATGTCAATATGGGGTGTGGTATTTGCCAGCGTGCAGTAGCTGCTCAGGTACAAGAGCGTCTATTTTGGCTCCGTAACCGCAGCTGCCCCAGACTATCTCTCAAAGTTGGTGCTACCGCTTTTGCTTGATGGGTCTTTCTTTTCTCGCCGCTACATTGATCTGGCCTCCAGCACGCTGCACACCATTGTGTTGAGGTGGGCTCGCCTGAACAAAAATTCGCCGTTGTTTTCGATACCGGCTCAGGCACTCCCAGCTGCCACTCTTGCTCAGTCAATGTCAGCTTAGCAGGACATGTCATCATTCCTTCGAGCGAGCCTGGACCTGAGATCTGAGAGTGCTTGGCATAGCACAGATGCCATGATATGTCTAGTCGAAACAGGTGTCACAGCGAGACGTGCCGGATACACAATCGGTACAGCAGAGAGGCCGTGGATTTCATCTGCGTCAACAAAATGCAACAAATGTTTCGAAGGTTGAAGCATGTTGCAGCTCTTGGCAGTTCGTGAATGTGGGCATGCTGGTATTGGGACAGCCTGTGATGGTCGTTCCGTGCTTCGTACGAACAATATCGGACAGTAGCAGCTGTCATTCACTAGAGGGGGTTCATTCCCAAAACCACGGCTTTTCTTGGTCAAGCCGCAGCTGTCTCATTCAGTTGCTTTGGTTAAGTGCATATGTCAATTACTTCGTTTTAGGTTCGCGCCTGCCTTCGCTCTGGTTTCCAGTCCAGATTCACCCATCTCTCCTTTCGACATCTCTTTGACCTGTCCCCCTCTAGCTCCGGCCCCTGCGTTGTGGCACTGCAGCACCCTGATAGGGCCCCAGATGACAGGCTTCTCTGGCTGCAGTTGACATAGACTATGATGGATCTCCTGTCCAAGCAGGCCAGACGTGACCTAACAAGCCAGCTTTGCCATATGCACATTGCAAGCTCATGCAGTTCATGAGGAGCTCCACGGGACCAGATCACCGTTGCCTTTGGCACTGGTGAGGTGACAGGGCAGTTCGTAAAAGACAGGCGAGAATGGGAGGATGGGAGGAGCGGGAGCGAGTCCTTTGCCAAAGATCCGCGTTCAAGGCTCTGCCTCGGCCAAGTGGGAGCAAAGCTCGCTTCCGCACCAACAGCCGGTCCCTGAGCGCCTCGCTAACTTCTGAATGTATTCGGGACCACCAGATAAAGAAACTGGAAACTGGACAGGATTTGCAGACCTCCTCAGCTCTTGGCCCCATATATTTGATTTATCTTGATTCATTTTGACTTGTCTTTGCCTCAGACATGCTCAAATTCAGGCATTGCATGAGCCAATTGTCATTGAAGGGATTGATCTTGAGGGGCTTCATTCGATCTTCTTCAATTTTGCCCTTCAGTGGCAGAAGGCTTCACATCCTCCAAGTCTAGTTGCACAAGACGATGCATTGTACTCGTGGAGTTCCCTTTGCCGCAGTTCTCGCAAAGCGGTGCCCTCTGATTCAGACAAGGGTTTAACTCGCAACATCTGATGAACTTGGACAAAGCAGATGTTACGAAAGTTCCCATTGAACTCCAGCGGGAGTTTCAGTCTTCTACCAACTCTTCTTTTTTGCAACTGGCTGGGCTGGGCACATTTTCGCGCAGCCATTGCTGCCTTGAAGTCACAAAATACTTGGGGTTGTATTGGCTTATTGGACTGTAGTCTTAAGGTAAGTAAGGTCAAACAGAGCGACACCTGCACACGAAATGTTATCTGCGCCCAATGGCCTCACCCAAACCCCGAGTTTCAGGCTGAGAATGGGGGTTTGGGCGAGGCAAAATGGAAGCAATCCGCGGCTTCAAGGAAACCATTAAGGGTGTTTGCCTCAAAGGCATCGGACATATTAGCGCACCTAAACAGCGGCGAGCACTGCAACCAAAGCATCCTGCATGTCTTGTAAGCTTTGTTTGACATGTATCCATCACCAGTATCGATGAGGTGCCCACTGCAAGTATAGTTGTGAAAAGCCGTATAGAAGATCAGTGAACGGCGAAAAACATAATTTAAGACAGTATCACTTTCGGTAAGAGACGGGGCTAGGCGTTGTGAGGTCACTTCGGTGAGGGTTTTCACTGAGGGATGCCTGAAAGTGGGCAGGTGCAGATGATGGTCCATGGCCTGCAGTTGTACAGCCTCATGTTGTCTTTGGAAACCTGATAGGAGTCCTCGAACCCCAGCAAGATTTGCGTAGATTGAGCACGTCACACATGACAACTCGCAGACCACATGACAAAGACGCTCCACATTCTTGACTCTCCACTCCCCACACCATCCACACTCCATTGCCTACTCTCCATTGTACACTCTCCAATCGCGACTCCATCCACTCTCCGTTCTCCACCCTCCACGATCCAATCTCCATGTGTCACTCTCCGCTGCATTCTCCGCACTCCACCCTACTCGCCACTGCATTCTCTATCCTCTTTCCAGTCCACTCCACTCCGCTCTCTATTCTACTCTCCACTTCGCTCCATCCACCGTCGATTCTCTATTCTGCGCATTCCTCTCTCCACTCTCCGCCCCCACTCGATTGTCCACTCACTTGCCACGTTGCGCTCTCCACTCACCACCCATCCACTCTCCAGTCTCCACGCTCCACTGGCGACACTCCACTCTCCGCTCTCCACTCCGCTCTCAACTCGACTTTCTACACTCCGCGCTCCACTCCACTCTCCACACAGCTCGCTATTCCACTTTCCACCCATCGCCACTTTCTCCACACTCCATTCCACTTGACTTTCCATTGCACTTTCCACTCTGGACAGCAGGGTCCCAAAGCAACCACTTACGAGGAAGGCCTCGTCCCTGTGTGACTATTGACACTTTGAACACGTACCGGACACACGAGGGTCCAAAGCCATGTGACTGTTGGCACTGTTGACATGCGACTGCCCAAAAGCGATGACGGTTGCGAGGATGGCGACCTCTGGGGGGAGGTCTAGCCAAAGCGCGAAGCTTTGCGAACACAAACGCAACGATTTGGTCTGTCCCCGGACCATCCTGGACCCACGGACCCCAACACCTAAAACGGGAATCCTTCTGCAGAGCCTTCGGGAAAAAGATGGAGAAAGAGGAGAATTCGCCGTGTCCCTCCCCGACAGACCTACTCGTAATGAGGCTCACTTCTTTTGCGGCTTTCCAGTCGCACGACTAGGCATTTTGGAAACACTCCACAGAGTTCGTGTGTTGTGAGATCTTGCGCTCTGCGGCGCACAAGGTGCGAGAATGATGTCATCGCTCGTGATCGCATCATCTGTTGTATCCAGCGTCTCCAGCATATGGCACAGTATAGCACCTTACAACATGACACACTTTCTAGACACTTCAAGACACGCACCAGCACCTTTCATCCTCCTCTCTTCCCGGCTCACCGAACATCCGCAATGGACAATCCTTGCATGGAGAACCCAACGAGGCTTTCTGGAAAATCCTCTCAGTCAGGTGAATGAGTTCTGGGTGCATCCTAACCTTCGTAGCCTTCCTCTCAAGTGATCATAAGTAAGACTTAATGGACAGAGCACCGCAGAGCCCTTCAAAGCTCGGCTCGCTTCGCTGCTGAAGAACTGTGCTATGCGCAACAAGGCATCCTAGTAGGGAATACTCCTCCGAGGATGATAGAGTTCTATTCTAGAGAGACAGGCACACAACAGAAAGCATGCTTCCTACTTAAGATGTACAACATCCATCCTTGTTTGAATACCGGACCACGAACACACTGTCTCAGCGGCAGTCGTGTCGAAGTCTCTGTTTGTGACAAGGCAACACCCTCCTACACCGAGCCCCTGCTCCTTGTTCAGCCGGGTCCCTGCGCTTGTCCTGTGCCCACACTTGGTGGATGGTGGAGCAATAGAGGCTGTGTGAGTTCTAGGAGGTCCCTGTCCGAGGTACGTGCCACCTCAGTCCTTCAAAAGCCTGCTCTGCCAAGCATTTATCGAAGTACTGCACTCTTTCAGGTCAGGAGAAGCTGAGCTGGGCCGAACTCCGACTATGCAAAAGGGTCTGCGGGACTGGGAATAAGGGATGTTAACAGAGAAGGGGTTGTCGTGGCGTGACATGACACTAGCAACCACCAGCCAACTGCTGCGAGTTGGCCTTTCCTCAGCTGGCTGGTGTCAGCCAAAGTTCTTCAAGTGACCAAGAAGTTCATAGAAGTTCCGCACGACCTGACATTCGCATGTACTCACCCCCCTGAGATGCCGGCATGCCTCTACTTGTGAGGGTGTAGAAGGACCTCTGATGTTTTCGATGGGCTTGGACCTGCATATCTGTCATTTGCACCAATTGCAAGGCTCTGCGCTTGGTGCTCGTACTGCGTACATGCATGTTGCGGCTAAGCAGACTGCACTTGTTTTGCTTGACCTCGTGTTCTTGCCTTTTTCCTGCAGCCTGCAGGTGCAAGATGTTGTGCTATACCATGAGTAGACTTGCAGGCCAAGCCACACCAGCAGGCAATGCATCCAGAGTGATGCCACGAAGTCAGGCCTTGTGGCAGTGGGCACCTGTGAAAAAGGATCTGTCCATATTCAAGATGTCGCATGATGGCCATTGCCAACTTTCATCGGAGTATAGGTGTTAGTGCAAGCTTCAGGTTGTTGATGCCATTCATGCTGCACAGAGCTTGGGTGGTTGGCGATAGCTTCATTTTTGCAGTCTTGCATCGTGTTTGCACCAGAAAGAGCTGGCCGGCTTTTGGCTGCTCCATACCTTCTGCTGTATGGTGCAGGCGCTGAACTGCGTCGACCTTCGTGTGGTCATGGCCACGGAGGCAAACTTCAGTCTCATTACTGTACCCTACCCACAAAAAGCTTGCAAGCTAGTCGCCCAAAAAGCAAACCACGGGGCGAATCCAGGGCATAGATACTAGCAGCTTGGTCCAGCGCTTTGCCAACAGCCTCGCCAGATGACTGAAGAGCCCTTTCATGCCTTCTCTTTCGATGGCGTGCTTGGCCTTGGGCTCCGAGCTTGGCACGTTTTTCAAACGCAAGTCCAGATGTCTTGGCAGCTACGGCAGTTTCATGGCTGACACCGTCTGGCGCGGTTTTTGGGCTCAAGCATCTGGGACTTTACATGAAATGGGCTGGGGCCATAGACAGGCGCGAGTGTTGCACCGCTGTTGTGTGGGAAAGAGGTGTGCCTCGAAACCATGAACCCTCAAGCCAATCTCGATTAATGAAGCCATCGTAGCTGCTGAACTCATGAACAAGCTGCAGTGTTGAAAGCCAAACTCCCTGTTGCTCCAGACACGCTCATGGTGCCAGACAGAGGCAGGCTCTCGTTCGTCTCACGAAGGCTGGGGCCACGGGTCGGTTGCGAGGTATTGTCAGGTATGAGTATCGTGGATAGCAGATCCGACTCGGTGGGGCTCCTGGCAATGCATCATTTTTGGGATGCCCTGCGGGCCGAGCCCAGTTCTGCACCGCTCCCTGCTGTCACTGACCACTTGCCATTCCGCAGGCCGTCAAGACATCCAGTCGGTGGGAGACGTCTCTGCAGCCATCAGCTCAGATGCCGCATGAATCACAGGTAAAGTGCCAGACAAACCATCCATGAACACACTACGAGAAGCAGAGCTGAGAAAATGTTCAAGCCGGTGGCTTTCTCTTTTCGTGCCAACCTCTGCAAGACTGCCAACCCATGGAGCAAAAGCAGAACATCTCATTCAGTTTAGCTGAGCACGCAATAGCTCCGACAGCATCACTTGCTTCTAGGAGAGTCGACTCCCCGCGCTGACTTGAGTTGCACACAGCAGGAAATCTGGTGGGATAGAAGCAGACCTGGCCAAACAGAAGTCAGATATGCAAATTGAAGGTGCATTGCCTAATTTACAAGCAGTGGTGTCCCCAGAAGCCCTTAATCAAAAAGCCCCATTGGACATGCTAACAGCCCAATCCAACGGCAATAACAAAAAGTTGCCTGCCGGTTGAAGACACGTGGATTGCTAGTTGCGGACAGAGCTTTACAGTCTTTGGATCCTGCTTGGCAACTACAGTGCCCTGAACATTTGACTGGATGAGGCTGCTCTCTGATGGGCTTCGGACGCTGCCTGTGGACATCTTCGCTATTGCATCAGGTTGGAACCTCAGAATTGAAGGCCTTTTCTTGAAGTTGCTAATGTTTTGTGGCAGCTCCGATTCCATTCCGCGCTCGTCTTGCAACTTGGTCACTTTTGGAGACAAATCGAGAGACCTCTGGTGCGCACCTGCGAGGTGTTGGAGCCTGTGGACGGGGCCAGCGCTGGCGGCGGGCATTGCATGTGCTGGGCCTTGCCGGGAAAGCATCCCTCGAGCTGGACAGCGAGTATGACTTAATGTTGAAAAGACGGACGCCTCTGGATCTACTTAGTCTCCGGCAGCTTTTGCCCTGACCTACTGATGCCAGTAGCTCTCAACTTACACTCTGCAGTTCCCTCGAGGGTATGAATGCACTTCGCGAAGAGAGGATGTGCGAGCTGTCAGCCCTGCCATCAGTGCATGCGAGAAATCCACTCAATGGGTTTCAGCAGCCTGTCTGCAATCGTGGGAACATCTGCGGGAGTTGTACAGCACTTTATTAATGATACTTTATGGAGAGAATGGATCATCTGCAGCAATGCATGTCCCATGTACCTCCAAGGCGCTGTCGCTCTTGGAGTGGCTCTGCACGCTGCTTAAGCCTGACGTCATCGCGCAAGGTACCGCGGTGAGCCCCTGCACCTGAATTTTGGAGAGAAGTTGGCTTTGTTTTGTCAGCCGGGCGTAAGGACAAAAGCTGCAAACTTCTGCGAGTTGCGATTGCCCAGGTGCCTGTGGTCAGGGCGGTGTGTGGGCGCGAGCGCTTGGCCTTTTTGTTCGAGTGGCCTTCAGTGCAGTTGCGCACTCCGGCCAATTCTACATTTTCTGGAACGGTTGTTTGTGTGTTTTCCTCTTGACGTCTGCAATCTTTGTCTATCTCCTCCCTGTTGCTGGCTCTCTCTCACTCCTCTCCCCTTCTCCGCTTCTTGTGTTCTTATGTGAGGTGTAACTCCGCCGTGTCGGGATGCGAACGCGCAGGGCGCTGGCAGCCTGCTCTATGCATTCTTCGCGACAGCCTTCTCAGGTGTCCGCAATCCTTGTTCCTGGCAGCTTCTAGGATAGACGCAAAGGAAGTCTTGGGTCTCCTTTCAAAATGCACGACCCCAACGCATGGATGAATCGTCGGGGGCGGTCTGACGATGTCAGCACATTCAGCACCTGCTACAGCCTCACAAGTCCCCAGCACGAAATTGAATGCAGTGAAGCTCCATGCAATGCTGCATTTCGATTTCCCAGCACTTTCCAAATTGAAGGGATTTGTTTGCCGCGTTTAGGAGACTTCTGCCAACGACCATTGGGTTCAATGCAGCAATCAGCGCGACAGAGGAGGAGCGGAGTGCCAATAAAGATTCCATCACTCAGGTCTTACAGGGTGGGAGGCCGCACTCGAAGTGAAATGGGGAAAGTGAGGCTCGTCCTTACACACATGTGCTTGTTAATCAGCCTGATTGACGTTTCGTTGGAGTAGACCCCCGTATCTGCAGTCCTTCGAATCTCCGCTTGGCTTGGCTTGCCAAAAGCGATGGGGTGGCCATTGTATTTTCCCTGCCCTTCGTTGACGTTGTGGCTTATTGTGTCGCTATTCATGGTATCGTGCTGCACCTACCTCATCAGCCTTATCGCTTACCGCGTTGCCTGTGTTGGAATAGTGATGCATAATGGTCTAGCCTTCCTCACTTAGTGGATTGTGGCGTAGTGGTTTCTTACGTTGCCCTTTGCAATGTAAACTTGCCACGTCGCCCCTTGAGGCGTAGTGGTTCTTATGTGACCCTTGTGTGGCTCAAAAGTTTACATCGCCAACTATTTTGTAGCACAGAGATTTGTAGTTAATCTGGTGATACCCAGTACAGAATCTGAAGCCATTCCATCTATTCTCTGTGACCGTAGAGCGCATGCACCGGCAGCGTCATTGGTGCTCGCTGTTGCTTTCTACGAAGGGCGCCAGAAATTCATCAATAAAATTCGCTGAAATCTTCAACCCTGACCTCACTATTCCAAACGTTCCCTTGATCCGGTATAAACCTTTCTCGCTGATATGAACAGGCTGCCCCCAACCCCCCGGTAATCTACATACTGGGAGGGGGGGTCGGGGGGCGTGGATTTATCGCACGACCCGAACAATGTTGGGGTGGGGAGGTACATAAAGGGTCCTATTGAAATCTAAGTAAAGTTGCATAGAATTCGATTAAATCAAACAAGAAACCATCAACTCGAATCCAGATCGTAGTAAAAACTTAATGAAACCCATTAAGATCATTAAGATCAAAGCAAAGCCATTGAACCTAATGAGCGTTTAAACACAACTCATTTCATATCAAATCAAACCCATTAAAATCTATTTATGCTCTACTTTACTTCAACTCGAATTAAAATCTTATTACCAACCAACTTCAATTGAAACGTACAGAACATCTAAGTACAAAATAATTGAAACAACTAAAATCGCAATACAGCCAATTAGAATCGCATTCAGATTCAAAAGCCATTTCTTTATGTAACCATTCTAAAGCCATCCAAGTCCAGGCAATCAAGAGATCCCTAATCCTAAAGAGTCGCGCTAGGGACCCTCCCCCCATTCAGAGGATCCGAGCCGTAATCAATTTTACTCGTGGCCCTTAGAAAGTAGTGTTGGGGGCAGATTAAGGAACGCATATTTTACATTAGGAGGGAAGGGTTTAATATTAGGAGGAAGGGATCATTATATTGGCCGCAAAGTTCCTGATTCTGTAAACATGGGCTCCTCAACTATTTGGTGCAAGCTCTATAAAGGGGTACAACGCTGCGAATCAGTCTGCAGATGTTTAGGCAACCAGGCTATCACAAAAATTTAGGGCGAAAGTGGCAAGAGGGAAACAATGGGGCAAAGACGATGGGCTCATCAGCTGGTACAGCTGTTGCGACCAACTGCACCCATCTACATGGAGTGAAAGTCACCGTCAAGATGTTTAATGCATCGCGACAGGCTTTAACAAGGCAGAAAGGGTATCAATCATCAGGCAGAGCATGTCAAACAATTCTGATACCGGACTACGCCTACAGAGAAGTTGCAATGGAGCTCAGGCTTCGGTTGTTTCAGTGAGCGCAGCAGGGGTTTAGTTGTGGAATGGAAACGAAAAAATCGGCCAGCCCTGCCCAACCTGCACGCACCAACTGCACAATGCAGCAATAAAAGCAAATTGGGAGTGTCAACGCTTCAACATGAGCGAGGCACAGCATTTGCATAGTAATGTTGGAGCCTTTGTAGCGCAGGAGAACCTGCCCTTTCTCCCCATTCTAAACCCAACAAGTTTCGCCACAAATGCTGTAGGACACCAATAAGCACCTTCTCCAAACACAAACGCGGAGAGATGCTGAACAATTCCCCGAATCCGGATTTGAATTTTGAGTAAACAGGTGGTAGGCAAGCCGGGTCCCCTGGGCCAGTGGCAAGTGAGGACCAACAGTGGCAGAGGTCCTGTTCCCTGTTCGATTCGTTGCTGGAGGCTCGACTTTGGGCTGTGCTTGGCTTTCTTGAGCTTCGGGCTCGCTTCAAAGCCCTGAGGCGTTTTTGGCGCCCAGCGTGGTCACCTTTGGAGCCGCAGCTTCCTCGCTGGCAGCTGCACGTCAGTGGAGGCAAACCCCATGTCAGAGAGGGTCCCAGCCAATGTTCAGCAATGGCCTTCCTGGCCCTGCATGCCACAACTCCGCATGTTCAGACCAGATGAGGCAGATCCTGCCAAAACTTAAGCTCTTTGATTCATGTGTCGGATTTGATTTGTCTTCAACACATCACTGTGAAGGAAGTCGCTCGTTGTGTTGGACCAGCTAGACAATTGCAAGGCTCGGACAGCAAAAGCTGCGGCTTCCAAAGGACAACTGTAAGCAACATCGGGCTTTCAGGGATGGCATTGGGAGCAATCAAGG